GGACTGGGACGCTGCTCCGGCCTGCACAGTTTTAGCTTTGGATGAACTGCCTGAAGCACCTGTTTCGTCAAAAGACATTGCTGCTGCGTCAGCTAAGGACAATGTATTGGCCCGAGTATTAAACTGGGTGTGGAGGGGGTGGCCGGCAGGGGGTTTGGAACCGGAATTCAAACCTTACTGGGCGCGCGAAAATGAAATGTCTATTTCAAAGGGATGTTTGCTGTGGGGGAACCGGGTGGTGGTACCTCACAGTTTACGAGAAAAAGTGCTGAAATCACTGCATGAGGGCCATCCAGGAATGGTCCACATGAAAGCGTTGGCCCGGGGATATGTATGGTGGCCCGGCATGGATGCAGACATAGAAGAATGGGTCCGAGTTTGCACGCCCTGCCAACAGGCGAGACCCGAACCGCCAAGCGCTCCTCCACAAAAGTGGGAATCGGCGGGAAAGCCTTGGTCAAGGCTTCATCTTGATTTTGCGGGGCCTGTACAGGGACAAATGTTCTTGATTGTGGTTGACGCATATTCAAAATGGTTAGAGGTGGCTCCCATGACCTCCACCACTTCAACGGCCGTTATTACTGTGTTGCGCCGCTTATTTGCCACCCACGGGCTGCCAGATGTGCTGGTGAGCGATAACGGTGCACAATTCGTGTCCCAGGAGTTCCAACAGTTCCTGACCAACAATGGGATCAGGCAACTGACATCTGCCCTTTTCCATCCGGCCTCTAACGGCCAGGCGGAAAGAATGGTCCGTACGACCAAGGAGGCCCTTGCGAAGCTGACGCAAGGAGACTGGGGGGTTAAACTGGCGTCTTTCCTCCTACGCCAGCACGTAACTCCGTGCTCTGCCACAGGCCGCAGCCCAGCCGAGTTACTGATGGGGCGACGCCTAGCGTCTTTACTGGATAGGCTACATCCAGATCTGAATGACTTAAGGCCCCAACAGCAGAGTGTTGCCACCAAGGTCCGCACATACGAATGTGGAGATACTGTGTTTGTGAGAAACTATGCAGGGGGACACTCGTGGCTACCAGCCACGGTTACTGATTTCCTTGGGTCCCGAATGTACGTGGTGCAACTTGTGGATGGGCGCAAGTGGAGGCGCCACATTGATCAGTTGAGACAGAGGTGGGCAACTGGCCGCCCCACGTCACTGCCGACTGAATGCTCCGAACCCGAGGACCATCCCGTACCTATTCCAGAGGTGAGTACTGACGGGCCCACCGAGCCCAGTACTGTCCCTGAGGGAGGGCAGACCCCTACTCTTGGACCTGCAACAAGGGATGGAAGTGTGCCTGGCTCACTCGAGCGTGAGTCAAGTAGTGTTCCCCCAATTCAATTGTGCCCTAAGCCTACACCGCTACGTAGGTCTCAGTGAACACGCCATGCACCGCTCTACCTAAGTGAATATGAATGTACCTGAATGTTTTTACTTAGGGGGGAGGGATTTGTAGTGTTTTCAAAATGACTTGAATGTATGTATTGGATGTTTGTGAATCATTCCATTGCCATCTCATGTTAAGCTTCATCCTGGGCTAGGATCCTAATGTAACCAATGGGAACACTAGCCCAGGAAGCAATATCCAATCACTATGAAGAAGCTCCCTGAGCGGGAACGTTTGTGATTGGCCTTTAATGGTTCTACCGCATTGGTTGATTATTGTATAGTAGGCGTGGTTATATTAGCCAGGAATGTTTAAATACAGAGCAGCTTCTATGCCAAAGCTGTCTCTGGCTGACTGATGTTGTACCGTGTTGGAAGTGAGTTCGAGTTGAAGAATAAAAGCCGCATTCTTGCTGAATCATTCTTGCTGAATCACAGTTCACGACTTAACATTTTCCCTCCGACGATCCGGGCCACGCCCCCAACGTGATCGACGTGGTTGTGTCACCTCCGGTGATGCAGCCACGCTGCGCTTCGGGGGGCGGAGTTCCCCCCGGGGGGGCCTGATTCTGTGGTGGCGGAAATCGGGCCTCCAAAGCGGGGTTTTACCCGCCACCCGCCCCCACTTGGCAGCCCTACTAGCAACTGGCACATCGCCGACCAAAGAGAACAACCAGACAGAGTCATTTCCCTACCCCACACCCCAGGGAGGTTGGAAACCCTTCCAAGGAGCCCTCAAGTCCCTTCAGAGTTCCTTTAATGTATTTACATTACATGAGAATGTAAATAATGGTGGATAAGCTATCCCCCCCCAATAAATCAGTAAATAAGCACTGGGGAGGCTCAACTAAGTTGTCAGCACCAGGTAGCGCCTCAGGATCCTTGCTCACATGCTCAGGCTCCACATCAGACTCTTAGTTATTCTCTTGTGGATAAGCAGACGCTGAAAGGCCTCTGTTGCCAGCCTCCGGGTGGGCCTGGACTGGAGATCTCCCAGAATTACAACCGAAGCTCAGATAAATGGGTACCTACCTTAGATGGTAGGAGGTCAGTTCCTCTAGAGAAAATGGCTGCTTATAGAGTCAACCCTCCAAAGCATTATAACGCCGCCAAGGTCCGTCCTATCCTTAACCCCCCCCCCCAAATCTCCAGGAATCCCCCCACTCAGAATTGGCAACCCTATTAGTTTCAAGGCCTCCTGGCCCTACACAAACTTGTATCTTCTAAAGCACAGCTTAGGGTTGCCAAGTCTACTTACCATGGCGGCAGGGGAGCCTCGCCGGGCTCCGGGAGCTCTACGGTGATGTGCACGCTACGTCGCTCACGTTGAGGACGTGGCCACAATCGTCGGAGGGAAAACCATAGAGTTTTCCCTCTGACGATCGGGGCCACGCCCCCAACGTGAGCAACGTGGTGGTTGGGTCACCTCCAGTGTCGCAGCCACGCTGCGCTTGGGGGGGCGGAGTTCCCCCCAGGGCCCAATTCCGCGGCAGTGGAAATCGGGCCTCCAAAGCGGGGGTTTACCCGCCACTTGCCCCCACTTGGCAGCCCTAGCACAGCTTCCTCCGGCTCTGTCTACACATGGCTTACAGGAAGAAGCAACTGTGCCTCCCCCGGCTTTTTTCATGTCCTCAAACTGCCCCATGGACCTGCTATTGAGTCTTTTGTGAAACTTAGGTGTAGGGTTGCCAGATCTTACCTGGCTGCCAGTGGGGGGGAGGGGGGCCCCTCGCGCTTCAGTCCCTGGAGTTTTTAGTGCACGCACCACGATGACATCAGCCGGAAGTGATATCATC